CCCCCCCAGTTCTCCGTTTTATTATATGTGTCGACATTGCTATTTTGTGGTGTTTTGGCTGCTTGGAAGGAGGGCAACCCTTGCTTGCGTTGATGAAACAGACTCGTTCCGCGCCCTGCAGACGTGTCATTTGATCTTGCATCATTCACTGTCCTGTCATGCATTTTTTTGGCCGTATGCATGCTACTGATATCTGTCCTGTCATGCTCCAGTTTGGCCCTGTACGCGTCTGATATGTGGCCTATCAAGCTCTATTTTGACCCTATGCATGCTCCCAATGTCTGTCCTGTCACCCGCTTTTTTGGCCGTAAACCCACGACTTGGGGGTACCATACCCCCCTGGCAGGTGGCGCTTCCGCCGATCAGCCCTGCCGCTAACGGTGACCGCACCGAGTCGAGGGTAAAGATGACGCGCATGCGCATGCGGATCGCAGAACGCCTCAAGTCCGCGCAGAACACGGCCGCCATGCTCACTACGTTCCAAGAGGTTTGTTTGTCTCGCGTGTGGTTTCCGCCTTTGCACCTGTCCACAGCAGCATGGAAGGCGGTCAATTGCCGTAGAGACTGCGTGGGGCAGCACGCTCCCTGGAACCATTTTGAAAGCTCGATTGCTTCACGACGACGAGGATGCCGAACTTAGACGATCGCGTTTTCGGAAAGCTCTTGGCGAGGCGGTTCCCGCTCCGCCACTTTCGGCACCGTCGCTGCCATTGCTGCAGAGCACTGGAGCTTTGAAAACCGGTCCAGGCGGGTGGGGTATCTCATGCAACGTAGATGTAGGCCATGTTCGGTTCGCCGTCACAGCAGTTGCTATTGTAGACTGCCGCGCTCGGCAGAGGGGGGGGGCGGAGGGGGGGGGGCAAGCTGGAATACCCTACAGTCCTTGCAAGTTGGCCACATAGATTTTTGGCTAGCGTTGGCATACCGAGGTTGGTAAAGGTGTTGTTGAGTCGACGCAACCCGCGTTGGTACGCCGTGGAAAATACAAGCGCATGTTGATTCGATCAAAAGCTTTCGCCCCGCCCACCCTGCCCCGGCACGCTGCTGCCATCCCACGTCCCTTCACACACTCACCCCGACTGCTTTGCCCGTGTATGCATGTGACGTTATTTTGTACCGTCCGCCCCTCTCTCGTTTATTTTTATTTTTTTTGTAGTGCGACATGTCTCACCTGATGAACATGCGAAAGGCGTACAAGGACGACTTCGAGAAGAAGCACGGTATCAAGCTTGGGTTCATGTCTTGCTTCGTCAAGGCATCGGCTGACGCCCTCCGGGAGATGCCCGCTGTCAACGGCTGTGAGTGTTCCGTCTTTTTTTCTTCCCTGCATTCCGGTTCGAAGGGCTACTACTGCAAAGAGCACAAGCGGTGTGGGGCGAGGAGATTGGAATACATATTTTCCCTCTTTCTTCCTGCTCATTCTGAGCCAATTTATTCCCGTCTGTCAGCGTCCTTGTCCTTCATCTTATGGCGGTACAGTACACAACCTGGGTCTACTCGTGAGTGGAGAGACGGTCAGGGATACAAAGGAGGAGACCTTGGAGGTCGGATGGCCGTCGGATGGGACTCTGTGTTTGTTTTGTCTCGCGTCACACACAGACATGCACACACCCCATCCTCACCCCGTTTCGGTGCCCCCCTGTGTTTGGGCGTTGCTATGTTCCGGTGTAGACATCGACGATAAGGCGAAGGAGATTGTGTACCGCAACTACGTGGACGTCTCGGTGGCGGTTTCGTCGCCGAACGGATTGGTCGTTCCGGTGCTCCGGAATGTCGAGGACATGGGTGAGTTGGACACCCGCACCTACGACGTGGTACAGATAAAAAAATAGCTTTCGCACTTTGGAACATCTTTTGGTAGGGGCTGGGATTCTTGTAGGCTACAGATGGCCGCTACGTATGTTTTGTTTAGTATCGGGGTTCTTTGCCGGGCTCACAAATGGTGTTCATGTTCTCTTGTTGTAATGTGTTATTGAGCATAGAGTTGTTCTCTGCCAAGTTCGTGATTACTTTATAGCGCAATCTGTACATCATGTCCGTTCGATGGTGCAGGCTGCGTCTCGCGCGTTGAAGCTGTCGTGGCAGGCGCACTCCAGCCATTTCGCAAGCGTTATTGTTTTTACGTAATGCAGGCTAAAGAGCTTGGACGCGCTGACAAGGGGTTTCTTTGTAGGCACGCATGCCGCATCGTCCATGGGGGGGGGGGTGTACTCATAGTCGTGCATGCCGTAGTCGTTAGACCATTGACCTCGCATCCC